GCTATGCTTAGATACAGCGCATGAACTTTGGCATGGCATAGTAGATGTTTTACGGCGCTATAGAGACAGAAATGACTGTTACGGCGCCAGTGAGAAACGTATTTTGATATATTTGGATAGTGTTTGTTTCTGGCGTCTTTTATTTTATTATTGTAGAGGTGTTTTACGTAATAAAACATTTTAAAATTTTGACCATTAAGATCAGCACAAGCAAAACAGAGGTGATGAAAATCTGCAAATTGCCAAACCCACAAAACATCATAGGTAAACCACTTTGCAGTTACACAACCAACAGTACAAAATACCCCATGTGGTCACCCTGCCAGGAGAGAGACTGCAACAGACTGCTCGGGCCCGGTGAAAAACTGCGCCAGGTGACCAAAACGGATCATTTTCACAAGAGCATTATTGCACCAAGTGACCGCAAATTAATAACAGCAACATCAGGCAAGTAGAAGAGTTCAAATAACTGGGAAGTCAGTTCACTGAAGACAGAAAGATAGACAGAGGAATAGTAACTAGAATTTCACTAGGCCAATGCTGTGACTTACCAACTGGCACAATTTTCACGTCCCAGCATCACAAAGCAGAGAAAACGCCAACTGATTAACATATTTATACAGTTTCGAAAAATTGGTTTGCATGATGAGCATACACCAAATTTAATGTCTGCTACCGATAGAACCAAGCCAGATAAGTTGAAAGCCTTGAAAACTCCGCAAATTGACCCGAGTTCAAAAGCGCCCAGTCTGGGATTCGAACCAGGGCCATCCTCTCCGTTGTCCAGTATGATACCAACCGAGCTAACGGAGCGCCAATGGTATCGTAGGCCCACAGCTAATATATATTATGTAGTTCGAGAAGAAGCTTCTGCAACAGCTGTGTGTCTGCATCGATGGAAAGAGTGAAATCGATGATCCTAACATGACAGGCAACGAACATCTTTTTACATAAAACTATGACATTTACGTAAAACTAGATTTTATAACATAATTTTTTTTCGGTCTTCAATTTTCTTTTGTGACTCTTCTCGTCTTCTCATTTTCCTTTCATCCTCTTTTTTTTCCTTCTCGGTTGAGAAGGTTTCAATAATGAGAACCTGCCGCTTTGTTATTATCGGCATTATCTTCAAAAACGCAGTTTTGTCTTCAAATCCCATTCTTCATTATTCGTCTCTGCGAACAAATTTTTCTCGACATTTCGCTACCCTAAAATTACAAAGTTCTATCTTCTCAGTACCTAGTTTTGAGAAATTTGACGAAAAAAATCGACCTTCACATGTCAAGATTTTTTTTTCGAATGCAGTTCTTTGAATATCTTGATAACGATCTACTCCAAATAATCTTACGATTTTTACAGAGCAGGTAGAACATTTGTTTTCTGACCTCATGGTTTTAGTTACTCAAAACGACCAAAAATGTCCGATAAAACTTTGTAATTCTAAGGTAAAAATTCGTCAAAGAAGTCTGGCACCTCGTGTAGAAATACCTCTAGATTAAAAAAGGGTTGGTTCTTTATTCACGAAAGATTTCCAGGATTTGAAATATATACGAATACGCCTGGTTTGAACTCATAGTGTTTTCAACTATGATTTTTCTGTTTATAAAAATATCATTATGTTTTGTTAATACATTATATACTAAGTTTGATTTCCAACCTGCTCCGATGGCTTATTTGAGATCAAGTTGACAACCCGATAATCAACCAACTTGTCCCCGAAAACGCTGCCAAAAGGTACCAGCAAAGATTTTCGTTTGATCAGGTATTTCTGCGCACAGATTAGAAGAGTTACTAGAGAGTATCATACAAGGAAAAGGAGGAGAGATAAGGATGATAAATGTTTGACATCATGACAGGAAAGAAAGAACGAAGAGCACCAAAGCGTGCCAGGAAAAGAACAAGTGCAAAGCATGTTTGTTGGTTTGTTTGTTGGTTTGTTGGTTTTGTTTTATTTTGTTTCTTGTTTTTGTTTTGTTTTTGTTTCTTGTTGTGTGGGGTTTTTTTTCGGGGTTTTATTTTTTTGAGGGGGGGGGGGTAGCATAAGTCCACTTGTCTAGCGTCATGGCTGCACATTTTTGTTTCAGAACAGTAAAACTTGTGTCTTTGGTGTAGCGGTTAGGCTCTGTGCTGTTGCAAAGTTCGATTCCCTGGTGGGGAATTTGTTTGTTTGGGTTTTTTTGGTTTTGTCCCTTTGTTGTTGTTTGTGTGTGTGTGTGTGTGTGTGTGTGTGTGTGTGTGTGTGTGTGTGTGTGTGTGTGTGTGTGTGTGTGTGCTTTTGCTGTGTTTGGGATTTTTTGTCGTTGTTTTTGTTGTTCTTTCTTTAAAAATTGAATATGTCAGTCTGTCGGGTGGGATTTGTAGCCCACTCAGCCCGAGCTGACCCTGACAGACAAGGTCTATTAATAGTAATCATCCCGCCCTTAAATGAACAGAATTGTGTCGAATGGGGCGTAAAACACTTACGATTACAATTACTACACTGCACGAAAGTTGAACGTTCTAGTTTTATTATATTATTATGGATATCATGCATGTATCATAGATCTTAACGCAACATCATGGATTGCACCTCATCATTTCATTGTTGTGTTCTTTCTCAACAAAATAAAATGCGCAGACTGGTTATTTAGATGGGCTTAACATGACAAGACAAGCACATTGACAAAACAACGGCCACGCATTACTTTGTGTAAGAAAAAAAAATCAATTCCTTTTTTTTTTGTTGCTTTTTTTTGTAAACGCGTTCGACCTGCCCTAAGACACGTATCCAAATCATAAGTACAGACCAAAGATATTGATGTTCGTGGATATAGAATTCAAGCAAAGCTCTATTTTTTTTTAAACACACACGCACACACAAACACACACACACACACACACACACACACACACACACACACACACACACACACACACATACACACATACATCGGTATGAAAATATGAAATAAAGACAAAAAAGCAACAGCTCTTCAGTTAGAATTATTTATTTCCTACTTAGGCAAAATATGGTTGCAAGTAAATCAAATCACCATCTATGCTTATTGTAAGAAAAAGAAAGTACACTGGTACTTTATTGTAAGATGTATACTTTGTGAATAATGATTATAATGAAAATATAATTAAAATTAACTCTAAATATATTTAAATCAATATCATATGGCTCTAAGATTGTAAAGATCAATAATCAATGTATCGCAGCTCTTCAAATATCACAGATTTATAGACGTAGTACCTATCTGATAAGACCAATCTGGCCAATAACATATTTATGGCGAGTGTGCATACTGTGTACATGACATTTAATACACAAAACCTTCCCCGGCAAAGACCTGCATGCACGACGTCACAGTCATCTATGTAACGAAAGCCGTATACGAGGTGCCCATTGGGGGATCGGGTCGAGTCGGGTCAGTTCACTAGCCAGATTGAGGGCGAAAAGCGGCTATCGTGGCACAAGCCGGTTGCGCCCAACTCGTTCTACCCGACAGTACCCGACCCGACCCGATCCCATCCGCAATGGGCACCCCGTATTACAGATCACAAGCAACATAATAGTATTATTGTTTTAATCATTCCTGTTCTTGTAAAGCGTTGACCCACACACGAACAGGATAATCCTAGAGATCATTCCATAAACATAATAATAGCAATATGCGTATACGCACCATAACATAAACTTACAACAGCTACCCAGTATCGTTTACACGATTCATTCTAGCTGTTATTATCGCCATTCTTTCATTCTTTGGGGGCAAAAGTTGGCCAAAGCTATCTCCTCTGCAAAAGAGTTCACTGAGAAGCACAGAATTCTACATGTGTAAAATTATGTGCTGAGAAGCCACTTGAAAGTCACCCCAGTTTACGATAATTTCTTGAGGAGCGCGCCTTGTAGTGGAATAGAGATCTATTAGTTGAGGAATGACATGTTACAATTTCTCTGTTCTTAGTACCCACTGTATTGGATGACCATACTGCCAACTCTTCAAAAGCTAGAAGCATAGTTATAGCAGGGTCTGTTTGTTTTTCCGACCCATCCGTGTCTATGTTCTGTCCCGAGAACAACAACGACAACTCTCGAGTTGTCTCTCTTTGAGGCAACCACACACACACACACACACACACACACACACACACACACACACACACACACACACACCCACACACACACACACACACACACACACACACACACACACACATAGACACACATACAAACACATACACCCCCCCAACATACACAGGGATCTGGCTCCGAGTTTGGGTCTGAGCCTACAAAACCCTTGAAAAACTTATCTACATTATGTGTGGCCAAGATGTCAGGTTGGAGTGGTTTTAATGTATATTTGACCCCAGATTCATTATCAGAGTCAAATTTACCATGGATTTGGTACGAAACAAAGATCAAGATTTACGAAGCATGTGTCCTCAGCACACTCCTTTATGGATCTGAAACATGGACCTTGTACAGCAGACAAGAAAAACGCCTCGACATTTTCCATCTCAGATGCTGCCGCAAAATCGTAGGCATTTCGTGGCGCGACAAGGCTACAAGTTTTGAAGTCTTGGCACGGGCAAACCTCCAGAGCATGACAACTATCCTGTGTTTAAAAAGATTGAGCTGGCTGGGCCATGTCAAGAGAATGGACGACAACCGGATTCCGAAGCAACTTCTCTATGGAGAACTTGCCCAGAGAAAGAGACCAAGAGGAAGACCAAAATTGAGGTACAAAGACACCTGCAAAAACAGCTTATCTACTCCGCTTGGAGTAGATGTTAGCATCTGGGAAGAAATAGCTGAGGACAGGAAAACATGGAGGAAAATGATAAAGGAAAGAACTATAATGCTAGAGAGCAGCCTTGGAAATAACCAGGCTGAGAAGCGCCAACGACGAAAGGAAAACAGCGGAAATACAGAGCTTACATCTACGACACATACATGCAAGCACTGCGACAGAATCTGCGCTTCAAACATAGGAAGAATTAGCCATGAAAGAAGCTGCAAGAAGACAACCTTGAGACCATCTTAAGCTAAATTGACCGTCTGCATAAACGAAAAGAGCCATATATATGGTACTAAACACCATGCAGATTGGGCTAAAGTCGAACGCGTGCACAGTCTTTCCCTCCTAGCCCTTTATTTGGCTCCGAATAGAGTCAAACACTACGCTCGGTAGTCGACCGGAATTACGTCAGAGCCCACGATTTTGGATATATTATATTACAAGTGTCTGTAACCCAGAGTAAAAACAACTGTTCAAGCTCACGCATCACTTTTTGTACTGCTCTCAAGCCCACTATAAAGCTCTTCTACGAGTTCAAGCATCATCTTTTGTGCATATGCAACTTTTTTTGCGTTGACACTTTTCCAAATCATTAATTGTACCCCAGTTCGTCCTGTTAACATTTTTTTCAAGAAACATTTGAGATTATGTTCTGTCCCGTTAACATTTTTCAAGAATCATTTGAGCAAATGTGTGCTTAAGTTCTATCCTGTTAACATTTTTCCAAGAATCATATTTTCCAAGATCCCTATTTTCCCAGAATCATTAATTGTGCCAAAGCTCTGACCCGCCAGCTCCTTAGCCCACTACGATGGGCTCCTTGAACTTAACGACCTGATGTTGCGGGGTCCTCAGATTGTCAGGGTAGCGCGCCTCTGGGACCACATCCAGGCCGCTAATCATGAGCCGCGGGGTGGCGCTGTATTTGTTCACACTGCGCAGCTGCGACCTGCTGACCCCGCGACCTTCACCCTGAGCGAAGCCGGCGCTCGTGGAGAACGAGTGCTGCTCAGACCTGGAGAAGGACGACTGCTTCTTCCGGAGCGAGGAGCCCGACGGCGGTTGGTGGCTGTGCGGGTCACGGAGATGGAGCTCCTTCAGCTTGTCTTGAATTAGATCCTGGTGTTTCTTCCGCGCCCACTGAGATTTGAGCGAGAGGAAAGCTTCGATGTCTTTAGCATTCTCCGTCTTCTGCATGCGCTTTCTGGGGACTCTGTCTTTTGGTGTGGTATACCTCCCAGGAACGTGGTACCACGCTGAGCGGTGGTGCATTCTGTTGGAGGAAGCTCGCGGGCAGGTGGGCTCGCCCAGAAGGCTGGAGAGCGAGCTGTTCGGACCCGCTATGGAACGGGCGTTGCTCAGCGTGACGTCGTGTTTCCCGGGAAGCGGACAGCGTGAGTGATGACCGCTGGTCACGGAGGACGCCGCCGTGACGTTGCTCCGGCCGCTCCACAGCCGCTTTGAGCTGTGGGCGCTATCCACTTTCCGCTGACCCGGCGCCGACGACGAGGTGGAAGAAGCTTGTCTGAGCGCCACGGACGTGTTGTCTGGAGTGACGCCGCCAAACCGCTGAAACATTCTCCGCGGCGCGCTGGACGGTCGAAGTGTCACTGACTTCTTCTGCCTCTCGCCCTCCCCGCCCATCATGTACTGCCGGATGTCGGCGTCGCCGTAGCTGTCTAGTCGCGGGGAGCAGCCCGGAAACTCCTCGTCTGTCTGACTGTCACCCACAACGTCCTTTCTGTGCAGGTCAACACTGATCACATGACCCTCCCCGCCGCCGTCTCCGTTGCTGTAATAGTTTTTCTCCCCTTCGTCGTCATAATCATCGTCATGAGGCGGTAACTCGGACTCGGACTGGGGAAATCCTTGATTGTCAAACTCCCCGGTGGCTGTGTGATCGAAATTACCGTTGGTGTCCGCGGAAACAAACTTCCTCCCCTTCGAGTCGATCTTCCCCACGATGACGACATCACCAGCCTTGCCGTTGGTCAAATCCTCAGACGGATGTTTATAACCGGCGCTGTACTGCGCGTAGCCATCCTGCCCCGCGCCGCCGTAATACGACCGTCCGTTCTGCTCCCTTCTCAGCAGACGCGGCCTCTCGGAGGTCGGCGCGGACAGCAAGCGGTCACTCGCGCTGACAACACTGACGACACTGCTGACCATGCTGTCCGGTCTGTTGTGACGCATCACCTCCTCGCGGCTCACCGCCCGCACATGCATGGGGTCCTCCACGCGCACCTTGCCTCCGTGGCTGCTGAGGCGACTGCGCATGCGCGAGAGGTCGCTCTCCCGAAAGGTGAGGGCGCTGAAGGGCATGCTGTTGCTCCGGCGCTCTGGAGAGCGAGCCGAGCCGAAGTCGTAATGTCCCATACTGAGGGCCACGTCAAGGCGGGTCAGGCTTTGTTGGGCGGCCATTGTGAGGTCGTGGTGTCCACCTGAGTGATGATGAAGGGGGGCGGGGGAGTAGCGGGTGGGGGTTAGAGATGGCATTAGGGGGGGGACGTAAGGTGAGGAGGGACGAGAATGGGAGAGGGGGGGAGATATGAAGGAGATAAGAGTCGTAAAATAGCGGGAGAAAGAGGGGAAGAGAGAGTGAAAAAGTGTGTGTTAGAGAGAGAGAGAGGGAGAGAGGGAGAGAAAAAGAGAAACGATGGAGAGAGGATGAAAGAGAAGAGAAGGGAGAGGGAGATGAGAGGTCGATAGAGAGATGGAGGGAGAGAGAGAGGTAGTGAAAGAAAGAGGGAATGAAGACTGGAGAAGAGGGTGGAAGAAAGGAGGAGCGAGAGGGGTGAAGAAGTGGGGAGTTGAAGAAGGCGCAGCCGAGGTTGTTATGTGCCGTACTGATGGCTGCATCAAGGCGAAGTATGAGAAGTTGGAGGAGAGAGAGGGGGGG